ATTTACTGGCGTTATTACGACAGCGAATGAACGACAAAGAAAAGAAGAAAGTAAAGAATTTCAGCTGTATGAGTCGTGAAAGTTTCGATAGAAATGCATCTGTAAAAATTTCTCTTTTAGAACTTTCTTCGAATTAGAAATATACTAGAAACTTTGAAATAAGATAGGTGTGATTTGATAAAAGACAAAATAAATAAAAGAACATGGATACCTGAGGATATGAGAAGACCATTTCCGAGCCAAGGTTTAAAGAATCTGTATTCTTCAGCTTTATCAATATAAACATGACTGGACAAGATAATCTCGATGTCTCGAGGATCAACCAGGAAGACAATAAGCTTAGGACCAATCCACAGTCTAACGACGTTATCATATATCTCAGCATATCTCATTGCTGTACTGAATATCGCTAGAAAAATTAGAAAAGAAAAGGGAATTTGAAAAAAATTGTTTAAATAAATTGATTAAATAAATTGATTAAATAAATAGATAAATATATATATATATATATATATATATATATATATCATTTGTATAAAAAATAATTATCTTACCATCAGGATTTCCAAGTAATTCTAATGCGTTACCAATAACAGGATATCCTTGAGGTCCAGGAATTTTTTCCGCAAGTTCTAACATATGTCGATGAGAAATACGAAAGTAGATATAGAAAAGAATAAGAGCTGGTATCAGAAGAGTAAAGAAAACCGATAAAGCTGACATTCCACCAGCCGCGGATGCCGCGACCGATCCGGTTATTACTTCCGGTCCTATTGCAGACATGCTGTTTCTACACGATTAAATTAAAAATTATTTTATAGAGAAATTTACGATCTGTTATTATTAATGTGCATATGATTTAAAGGTATTAAATATATTTGAAAATAATTTATTAAATTTTACGAAATGGTGAGAAAATTAAATTGAAATTTTTGAATCACTGGATGAACACAAAATTGAACAAAATTATGCAGAAAGTTATCAACTTCGAATGATCTGAAATTGAGTAAGTTTAATTTGAAAATTCTTTTTTAACCAAAAAGAAAAAGGAGAAGCTATTTGATTGAGTATTTTTCATTACGTATTTGGTTCTTGTCTTACAATATTGTTTAACGGTTTATTTATTAACGAATAGTATAATTATATTACAAATTTCTTTTTCATTTATAAGTTTAAAATGAAACTATGTCGTTATTCTATTAATAATTGTATAATTCAATAATTATTATATAGATTGATAATTATTTTCAAAAATTAAAAGATCCATACTGTGTTCAATGAATTTTTATTTATATTAAGGGTTTAGTATTATTTGGTTTCTGCATAACTTGGTCCTCTAATTATAATAAGTATACAACAATAAAAATAAAAATGTGATTAGAAAAATACAAATTTCGTTTACCTCTTCAATAAAAATACAATATCCTAATGTTGAGGTGACCACCCACCTATATGTTAGCACAAATATAAAAGATAAACTCTAGTTGATGCAGACCTACCACTAAACTGTTGGCTCGCTTTACGATTGGTGTCTTTTATAAGCGAGCCTCTTAGCAACCCCTACTACTTCTTATATCAAGAAATCAGACGTGTGATAATGACTACTTACTTTTTAAGAATATTTGAATCGATAATAGATTCACTGATTATTTATTCTCACGTACATCGGCAATGGAAATTTTACGCAATTGGGAATGACGTTTCTAAATTCAATTTCATTGAGTCACGTTAGTTCTTTTATTTCTTTTTATTCTGTCTATCTTGTAATTTTAAGTCAATCCTTTGGAAATAAGTTAAACATTTATGTTTCCTTGCTATAATCCATATTTCTTGACGTTATCTTAAACATTATCTCAGGGTCAATTTTAACGTTGTTAGGAAACAAATTTCGTTGACTTACTGATATTTCATAGTTCTTATGCAATTTACTACGTTTTACTCTGGCTCAATTACTACGTTTAATTATTTATTTCGTTGTTTACGTGAACAAATAATAGTTCATTTTATTTTAAGCGTTTCCTAAATGCTTATTTCAAAACATTGAAATACTACATAATAAGTGTAATTTGTTTATTGTTTTAGACGACTCTAATCTTAATAGTTTGAGTAAATGAACAATACTTTTATAATGAATAGTATAAATATATGCGGTCAGAAAGTATGGAATAGTTTGCTTGTGGACATCTTTACCGTTTTTTACATCATATTTTATTCGTTATTGTCAAATTAATAATTAAAAGGTATTTATTTAATTTAATAAAGAATTTAGACAAAAATCTCATATGCAGTTGACACTGGAGAGTCGGTAAAAAGACGCAATAGTGTTAGAAGGTGTTATTAAAAAAGTAACTCGACTTTTAAAATTCGAATTTCATAAAAGGGAGAGTAAAAAACAAGAATTTACTAAAAAAATTAATAATAATAAGTAATACAATTAATATTTAAATTTTGTTTTCATTTTTAAAAGCCTAAAATGGAACTATGTCATTTTACTATTACTAATTGTATAATATAAAACTTATATTATATTAAATTATATAATATAAAAAAACTAAATATATTT